AAGATCCCGGGTTCGAATCTCAAGTGATCCACACTTGGGGTTGGGTATGACTGGCTGATGACGGCTAATAAGCCAGAAATGGCCATTCCGGTCTCCCTTGTCTTTGTCGTATTACCTTTCCAACATATATATATATATATATGACATGATATATATATATATATTTCGAAGAAGAATGAGTCCTTTGGGAAAATGAACAAACTTTATTTCGTAAATTTTCGAGTCTGGTTCCCAGCTCGTCTTCAGACGTGTAATAAGTGTGAAGAAACAGTCAAAATTTAAACAATGCCGAAAAAATCGATATTGCTCTGTCATGACTGAGCATGGGCTAATGCTGTGGGCTGATGTCACGTCGTGATTGGCTATTACCTTTTCCATTTTTCTTTGAGACTTGTGTACATGGCATCGGAGTACCAAGCCTCGAGAAATTCTCTCGCCCGTTTTGTGTTAGCCATGGCGACGACCTCAGTGCCATCCCAATTGAATCGGTGGTCGCACTCGAGTGCGTGAGCAAAGACGAGGGACAGAGGGTCTCGCCGACGGACAGCCAGTTTGTGTTCATTAATACGGGTGCCCAGGCTTCGACCTGTATGACCAACATACACGCAAGAGCAATTTGAGCACGGGATGCGATAAATTACGTTTGTTTGTTGCTCTATGGGGAAGGGATCCTTGATTCGAGATAGCGCCGCGCGTAGTGAGGATGCTGGTTTGTGGGCGATGCGAATACCAGAGCGATTTAACTGCCGGGCAATTACTTCGGACGCTCCTTGCATATAAGGCAGGGAGAAGAATTGTCGAGACACAGTTTCCCCGTTGAGGTTGGGAGCCTGCGGTTGTGCCTGGTGTCTGAGGCAGTTCTTTACGATACTTGTCGGATATCCGTTGGATCGAAACAACCGATACAAGTAGGCAAGCTCTTTCTTAAGGAGATCGTCTCTGTTGCAATAACGATAGGCCCGATGGAACAGAGTTCGAACGAGACAGTACCGACAAAGACAAGGGAGACCGGAATGGCCATTTCTGGCTTATTAGCCGTCATCAGTCAGTCATACCCAACCCCAAGTGTGGATCACTTGAGATTCGAACCCGAGATCTTTGGTCATGGAGTTGAACACTCTACCATTGAGCCACGGGCCCGTTGTCCTGTCAGTTGTGATCGGGAATATTAATTATGATAGTGGGCGCTCACCGATCAGGTTGCGGAACATGCTCGTTCCGTTGTGCCTTGGGGCTCATACTTAAACCCTCGCAGGCAGTCGCACAGCGACTAGTAGTAGATATAGATGAGATAGTACCGACAAAGACAAGGGAGACCGGAATGGCCATTTCTGGCTTATTAGCCGTCGTCAGCCAGTCGTACCCAAGCCCGAAGTGTGGAACACCCGAGTCTCGAACTCGCGACCTGTTAGTTAGAAGTCTACGCCTCTACTCACTGGGCCACGAGCCCGTTGCTCTGTCGGTTTTCGATCTCGGGCTCTTAAGGCACAACGGAACGAGTGAGTTCCGTATGAACGACCGGTGAGCCCCCCCTACCATTGTATATTACCGATCGAAAACCGACAGGGCAACGGGCTCGTGGCCCAGTGAGTAGAGGCGTAGACTTCTAACTAACATGTCGCGAGTTCGAGGCTCGGGTGTTCCACACTTCGGGCTTGGCTATGACTGGCTGACGATGGCTAATAAGCCAAAAATGGCCACTCCAGTCTCCCTTGTCTTTGTCGGTAATAGCATTCTGCCTATATATCATGCGCCGCTGTGCGGCTACCGGTTGGGCTCGAGAGAGAGTCCATAATGCACAACGGAACGAGTGAGTTCCGTAAGAACGATCGGTGAGCGTCCCCAAACTGGAAGTTACACATCCCAAAAAATATAAGTTGACGTGAAGAACACCCTTGACGATCGCTGGGACCAATGGTTTATTTATCCGAAGTTTAAATGGAAGGTAAGTTGATACGTTGATAACACGTTGATGATACCTTTGACATAATTAAGCGGAAAATGGTCCAAAAATTCGCGATGCCCTGCATTCTGTTTTCCCTGACACCCAGTTCACAATGGAAATGAAAATTAACAGCCAACTGTTGTTCCTAGACGTTCTCATCCATTGATGACCCAATGGACACCTAAAAACACGGTGTCTAGGGAGACAACTAATACGCGGCAAATGCTGACCTACCACAGTAACCATCCGTTATACAACAAGCGCAGTTGTATGTAGGAAATCTACGGATGGGTAGAAACACACTGCAGAGAGCCAGATGACAGGCCTGAATTATGTTACATCCAGTGCATCTCCGTGGCTAACAGCTGTATCATTCACTAATCCGACAGGCGAGAAAACAGGCAATCGTGGGAACGTAAACAAAATCGCTAGCTTAGGACGACAGCTAAGATCAATGAGGGTACGGACGACGGCTGTCAACGTATCAACGACGGCCCCCGACGAGAGACATGTACATTGAGAACATCCCGTCTCCTCCCCGTCCATCACGGTCCCTGTGCGCATGCGCATAATGACCATCAAAATTAAAACAGCACTCCTTCATCCAGCGGCAAAGTGGTCGAGGACTCCCTTTCCCCTCCCCTTCCTCCTTGCCGCTAGCTGCATAGGTAAACTCACTTTAACATGACTGACACCACCTACAAACACTGCAAAGCGCGATACCAAGCTCACTTCCGAAGATGGAAGTGTCGGGATAATACAACTATGGTGACCGAGATCGCCTTTTCTGTTTACATACATATACACGGTAGAGGGACGCATACCGATCGCGCTACGGGCGTTAGGCATCAAATCAGCAGGCCATGGTTTTGGCCTCAGGAGTTGCGAAACCCTGGGTTGGGTACGACTGACTGATGACGGCTAATAAGCCCGAAATGGCTACTGCAGTCCCCCTTGTCCTTGTGAGTGGTGTCATTCTGCATACAGAGATTGCGGATGGAGGCAAGGGAGACTGGAATGGTCAGCCAGCCGCGCCTGAGCCTATAATGAGCGTTCATCGGTCAAAGAGCATTATAATGCCCAACGCTCTCCCAATTAGGCCACGGTCTCGTTGTCCTGTCAGTTGCTGTTGGAAATAATAACTAAGTCGGAGGTGCGCTTGCCATCGGCACAGAATGTGTGTATGGAAAGAAAAGATGCTGAAGTAGGTCTGCAAATTTAAGTTTGTCTGCATGCAAACAAATCACACCTGCGTTGATCTTGAGAGATAGCAGCGGACTTTGTCGCTTGTAGCAGTCGAATTACGGCAGCATTAGCAGCAGCAGTGGTAATACCGAATGAGCAGAATTCTACTTTCTCTCCATACAGGACATAATACTGGAGGTTAAGAAAAACTGGCATTCGCCTGAACAGTTACCTGTTCACGATATTTTGTCATGATCATCTCGAGCGCCGACTGATGTTCAGAGAGGGACTTCTCAAGAGTGCGGTTTTGCATTTTCAGTTGCTCTAGTTGTTTGTTCTCAGCCGCCAGGCAGAGTACCAAAGGACGTCGAGGGCTCTTCTCTGCGCGTTTTGCAATTTCAGCGTACTCGAGTGACTCCTCTCGATACTGGAAGTAGAATGCAAAGAGGACGACTGGCTGGACAGAAGGAAGTACTACGAGCAAAAATTATGATAGTGGGCGCTGAGGAACAAGACTTGAGCGTCGTTTCTGAATCAGACAGCCCCAGATATAATGCGTTCTAATGACCAAAAGTGGCATAGAGACCAAGAAGGTCAGGGCAAGCATTACAAAAAACTGCCTGGTTATCAATTATAAAGGTGGCACATGTTAGTAACGTTTCCAGACGAAAGGGCCACGAGCCCATTGCTCTGTCGGTTTTCGATCTCGGGCCCTGAAGGCACAACGGAACGAGTGAGTTTCGTATGAACGACCGGCGAGCCCCTCCTACCATTGTATATTACCGATCGAAAACCGACAGGGCAACGGGCTCGTGGCCCAGTGAGTAGAGGCGTAGACTTCTAACTAACAGGTCGCGAGTTCGAGGCTCGGGTGTTCCACACTTCGGGCTTGGGTATGACTGGCTGACGACGGCTAATAAGCCAGAAATGGCCATTCCGGTCTCCCTTGTCTTTGTCGGTAATAGCATTCTGCCTATATATGATGCGCCGCTGCGCGGCTGCTGGTTGGGCTCGAGAGAGAGCCCTTAAGGCACAATGGAACGAGTGAGTTCCGTAAGAACGATCGGTGAGCGGCCCCTTACAAAGTCAAATGTGTCTGCCGAAGAGAAGCTAGGCAATTAACGAGAGCAGACACAGGTCGAAGAGCTAGCGTTTTGGGCTAAAACTCTGATGGTAAACGGCAAATGACCGCTGAAATTCGTGCGAAGCCCTCAGTGGAGGCAAAAAGGTGGCAGCTTACCTGCCGCATGGCCTCCAGCTGGAGATTGAGTTCGGTGGCCTTGCTGAGAAGTTCATCCGCTGTCTGCTCTCGGGCACGCATCCTCTTCGAGAGGAGCTGAACATCCTTGAGGACTTTGTCCACCGTCGGTTTCATTGTCTGGGCTAAAAACAAACAAAATGGCGGGCTTGCATAAAGGTCCTGCCGTAGGAAGCAATATAGTCTAGCCTCTCAATCAATTGCATACATTTGAGGGGAGGGGGAGGTTTGGAGAGGACTTGATTCAGACCCGCACTCCGATGCACGATGGAGTGGAAGTAGTTAGCGCACATAAAAGCCGCAGTCGATGAGTTAAAAGAGGCTAAAATAGGTTTGTAGTCCGTTCCTTATACGCATTAGTTTGACTGCAAGAATCTGCGCATGCGTAAAAGATACGTCCTCAGTCGTGTTTTAATAATGATACCTTCGGCGATGAGAATATATGTACAAATTTGGTCGTAATGAAAAAGGCAAGAATCGCAGATTTTCGCTGATCCAGCCTGCACGGCTACTGAACTGCCAAAAAAGCATTAAAATATTCATTCTTTTACTCCTTTAGTTGGATATAACGCCTTCTCCACGCTTCACACTTAAAGGAAAGGCATAATTCGGTTTAAAGAAAGTTGCTAATCGTGAAATTTTTTGAGACCTTAAAATGCCCGTCCATAAAACATCGTGTCTCTGAATTTAGTAGTGCTGCTTATAAAGTTTACAATATGGCTCAAATCCGCTACTAAATTCTATGAACATCATGCGGTCTCTTTTTGATAGTGTATATAAAAGTGTGCTTTTCCATACATGGAAAATGTACAGCTTGTTGTTTGGAAACCCCAAATTCAAGTCGGGTTCAAGATTATTCGGGAATTGGATAAGTTTTCTAACACCGAATTATACCCTTCCGTCAACAATAAAATCTGTAGAAGGCGTAATTTTCTGCCAAATAAGTAAAAATGGATGTTTGCGCATGCATTCTGTGAAATATATTCGGATTTATAAGGGAGTCGAAAATCAATGATAGAAATTCACGATACCTAAACAGTCATTTTTCACAGAGTAGTTTCCGCAGGCGGCTGGGAGGACGTTCGTCCAAATGCTGGCAGCCTGGAGTAACTGAACTATCTTGGGATTATGTTGCAAGGGAGATAATATTACCAGCGTACTCAAGTAATCTTTTCGAGTCGAAAACGCATTTCAGAATTTCGATCAACATTTCATGAGTTAGCACATCTACTGTAGTTAACAATCTGCATAAGTCACAGGATGGAACGTACAACATCGCTGTAGCCAGCTCTTTCAATTGTTCGCATAGGTTCGATTAGGTAAGGACAATCCAAATTTCTTAGAAATGACACACGTCAATCTCCTTTCCTTTTACCTCGCTCTTTAAGGGAGTGTTCGGTTTACGGAGTTCCCCGATTAGTATTAACTTTGAGATAACTTGTGTCCTCACTTCTTCTGAAAGTTTGCGAACCTGTTTTTAAAAAGCGGCTTTCTGGTGCTAAAACTATGGGAAAACACGTAGAGCAAAATGTAAGCGGTACGAGGAACTTGTGGACACCAGCCTAGGCAAATAACGAAGCAAATCTGAGGTACTATCATAAACGCAAGCTTTGTTAAAAATGACTGATTACCCTTCCTTGGGTGAGAATTTTCGCGACGCGTATCTATTCAAAACGACTATAGCACTGCCACTAAGAAATACCCACTCATTGAAATACCACAAATGCGAGGAAAGAACGCCGTAAGAACAGTGATTTCTTACAGACCATGAATCTGACAGACGCTGGAAGTATTTTCAGAAGAAATCAACTGTAAAACAGTACGGGAAATAGTCTCAAGTAGGGCTTTATGTTTATCGGTACTGTAAATTCGCGTGAGTAGTGCATTGCATAGGGATTATGACTAAAATATTACAGTTTTACAAGTGCATGCACATACTGTAAGATCGAAAAACGGTTCAGAGATAACAATTCATCACCTTAGGGGTGGTGCAGGTCCGCGAACCCACTCCAAGTACCTCTAAATTTGTAAAAAAAAGTTGCCATTGACAGTCGCAAATTAGACAAGCGAAAGGAAAGGCGGTATTGACTCATTTCATCCTTGCATGGACAAGGCGGCAAAAAGCATCTTTCGTACGAGAACCAGGCAGTGATGGCATTCACAGAGATCCCTCTGGACGGAGCAAAGGACAAAAATGGGATGTAGATGAAGAACGAAAAGTGTCAAGATAAAAAATCTGTATTTGTTTCTTAAAACAATAACATACAAAGACGGACTAGAAATGGGGCTGAGAAAGGAGGAAGGGGGTCCAAGGCAAAGAGAGCGGGGATAAGGGAAGAAACTACAGGATAGCAAACTGGCGATATAGGACCGCCCGCACGTCGTAGTAAACTTTGCACAGCATGCCCTCCAGCAGGAGTCTACCGGCTTCTGATCGCTTTATGGCGACACGGTTGTCCACCACCAGTACGCCACTCACAAATTCTGCACTCATGCCCAGGTTTAGAAGTATCTGCTTAAGCTAAAAAAGATCAAAAAACAGAAGTGATTTTAGTGAACACGACGGGCGTGCCTGTGCAGGCCGCGTGTGGGCGCATTTGTTACAGTTGGCGGTAACTTACGTCCGAGAGTTTGGGTTCGTTAACAAAAACAGTGTCGTGCTGGGCGACGTGGCTCGACGCCGGAACCAGCATCGGCAGGGAGTCAGATACGATAGAAGCGCGAACAGCAGGTGCGCCCGAGTCGTCCTCTCCATCCATGTGCCCGCCCTCATCCTTTTTGGCGGATAGGTTATCACTCTCCGCAATGTCCGCCTCCACCCAGGCCAGCTCATATTCACGGATCTTGGTGAATTTCAGTCCAGTTACCAGGCTGTCCTTCATTCGTGCCTTAAAAGGAGTATATAAGACCACTGCGTGAAAAACTGGTATGAAGAAAAGTAAAAAAAAGAAAAGACGGAATGCCTCAGTTATCGGTTGCATTACCTAATATTGCATTATGAAAGGCAGCATAGAACATACTTGGAAGGTGTGTTATGGCTGATGTCCTGCTTTATGCGTCTGCATTAATGAGACAAGCCGGGTTCTACGTTAGCTTCTCTAAACCCTGTGTTACGGTAACTAGAGCAAAAAGCAAAAGCGATGGATGAAGCCGTTTTTGAGGTGGACAACTGCAACCAGGGTCAACGCATAAATTATCAGCTTCAAAGGAAGATACTCAGCCAAAGTGCTACTGAATGCATCTACAGGATCTGAGACTGATTATCTGTTGGATGTCATTCGACTAGCTTCAGTATCTGTTGCACGTAAACGCGACAGGTGGTCAAGGCCTAGGGAAACCAAGCGTCTTCCAGGGACTGCAGCCTTCCAAATGCAACCCATAAACTCAGTGAGTCAGTCCAAAAGAAAACTGAAACCATACAAGCTTGTGAGCAAAAGCGTCTGTCGTGTAGTATGCTGGTTGATCGTTTAAACTAACAAAGTCGCAATCAATCACTAAATCTCCAGTTCTGCCGGTTAGAATAACATACGAATATAGTTTTCTCCAGGTCTTCGTTGGCAAGATAAACCGAACACAAATAAATCTGGGTTCAGACTGGAGAAACCCACATAAATTATTTCACTCTGAAGAGAAAACGCCATTTCAGATTCGGTTCTGGGGTATCCGTCCCAAAATTCCGTGTGACAGTTACGTCCTGGGCACCAAGTGCCTCCAACCACTCTAGACCCGAAAGCTTATTTCGTCCCGTAAACAGGAGGGATTAATTAGTGGCAGTCGCGCGAGACTAACTAATACACAGATTCGAAGTAGCGATGGCGGAGGGCCTTAAAAGTGGTGCCATATTTCCATTCAGCCAATTCCAAATGAAAGAAGTAGGTACCAAGAGATAGGTCCAAAGTGAAGTTAGCAGAAAAAGAAAGTAAACAGATGTTATCGTTTACCTGATAGATGTCGCCCTCCTTGGTGCAATTTACCACATCCAAACCCTGTGGGACGTGTATGAGGTCTTCCTTCAGCATTAAAACTGATTTACAATGCTCAGCAATGTGATTGATCGCCTTGTTCGTCCCACCGACCAGAATGACTTCTTGTGGTCGCAAGCCGGTGATAATTTTCTTAAGGGCTTCCCCATCCGAACGACTCTACAGGACAGAAAAGAACGCTCTCAAAACAAGAAGGCGTCTCTATAAAAGGGCAGATTATTTTGTCAAAAATAGGGATTAGGCTGCTGGGCTTGGGCGCTTCGGCAAACGGACACAACGGAGAGCGATAAACATAATGAACTGTGTACCAATGTTAACATGCAAAGGCTTAAATTTGGAGAATTACTGATACCGAAAGCAGTACTACGATTAGACGAGAATGGAACTTATTAACGCTCGAAATGGCTGACGAAGGCGCTGTTTAATCAGTGCAACAGATGTCAGAATTCTGAAAACAAACGTGAGCAGTCAGAGAATGGCAGGTGGACCCTCGCCTCCGACGATGTTCAGCGTATACCCCACAGGCAGGTGGGAGCAGAAACGGTGACTTGCGAGTGATTTAGTTTTAAGTGATAGTAGACTTGCGCATCATCTACCACACTCTTCCTTCCCCCAAGGGCCCGGTGTTAAGACAGACTCAAGATAAGCGAAGGCGGAAGGAAGCACACGTGGCTGGCGCGGAGTGAACCCTCGTCCACAACGCACACTGACTAGGACTTTACACAAGGGGAGAGGAGGGCTGCTCGGATCCCACTGAGTGGGAGGTCGCATAGGCCACAGTAAGAAGGAACAATTGCAGCTTGACTCTCTCCACATAAACTAGGCTGACTGAGAGGTAGGTGCGAGCTCTCCCGTCAGTTGGCGCCCTTCCAAGCCATGGCTTTTAGCGCAGAGATAGATTCAAACGCGTCAGATTAATTATAGTGAGGAATATGCGCTGTGGCCACCGACTTCATACTCTCTTCCCACTCCCAGGCACCCGTCCACTGTCCAAGCCGGTCAGTTGTCTGATAAAGGGGGTGGGCGCAGTGGTTGACAGGGCTAGATAGTTGTCTGCTCGCGCCACATACACGACCTGGTCCTCCAGACGTACACATCAGGATTACAAACAAAAGGGGGTAGGTGGCTCGGATCTCACATGTGTGTAAGAGTCATTAAGGTGCCATCGCAGTCGGACACTCAGTCCGTCAATCAGTCACTGAATGCATTGGCACGCTAGGTTGACTGCATGAGGTGGGTTGAATTATCAGTTGGTAACCATCCGAGCCACTGCTTTCAGTGTGCCGTGATGGTCTTCTGAACGTCGGTTGGTTTATAGTGAGGAATTATGCGCTGAAAATCGACCGCACATGCACTACCAATTCCCGTGCACCAGTCGATTGCCATTCAACTAACTGGTGCTGAGACTGGGAGAGGTGCCTGGCAGAGCTGAGAATAGCCTGTGTGCGCGTGCCACACACATGGCCTGGCCCATCAGACACACACACACACACACACACCAGGATCTCATATAGGAGGTAGACTGCTCGGATCTTACGTATAGTAGAGGAGCCAAAGAACAAAGTTGTCACCTACGTAAGAGGTGCACGTATTGTGTAATGTTGGAGATGTATATATGTGCTGCATGTGTTGATGGGAAATAAAATCAAAGAATAAACAGGACAGGTGCGCTGATACGGAAGAAATCCTGTCGATCCAGCTAGGTAGCTAGTTACGTTTGATCCTTCTTAAGGAAATTTTTCACTCAGTTATCATCAGAGAATACAGTATAAGTGAAGGGCAAAGACAATAGTGGGACTGCATTCGAAGTTTTGTAAACATTTATGAATTGGAGATAAGTCGGTAAAATGTAATGCCAAGTCAGTTCAATGATACAAAGCTTTTGAGTAGCCGTTATTGTGTTCAACAAACATAACCAGTAAACACGCTTGCACTCGTTCCAGGGTTAATGAACAATCTTTGGTCGTAAAATACCGCCTTAAGCAATAATCCTAGTGTAAAGTGACTCGAGCTTTTCAAAAATACCATCTAATATCAAGAAGGTACAAAGTGATTGATAACCCTTAACTTTCGAGGTTATCATGACGGGAATAATGACCAAACTGCCTAAAATATCTTTGCATTGTAAGGGCAATTAACCTAGGTGCCGACTTGCGCCATACAGAACACCGCTCATATGATTATATGGAGCATATGGAAAGAATGAGTGAGGAGTTTAACGACCTGCATGCTAGGAAGAAAGTTTATTTTGCATGAGGTTAAGGAAACGATGTATCCAGGTTCGCAACGCGGGCCGAATCCGGACGCTATAGCTTTTTAGGCGGCTGCATTGGTCACTAGTCCGTCCGTCGCAAGCGACGATGATCAACAGTGACCTGGGACAGCGATAAATTACATGCAGATCGACTCATGGAGGGAGAGGTTTGCATAGCATCTGCACGGCCCTCTTCCAACTACTAACATGTTATGGTGGCAGAACGACCAGATGCCGGAACGGACGAAACCGCGAACCTTGCATAAGACTCCTCTATGTGTGCCAGGCGCTTGCTGATTCTTCAGTCCATACAAACCTGCTCTGGCACCCCCACTGCTGAGTTTTGTGACTGAGGTGGTGTTGACAACCATTGCGAACTGACTCGGAGTCACGGAGATCGAATCATACGGTCGAAGCTTTAGCTGGCCGCGACAGTTTGAACACCAGACTTATGAGAAGAACAGTTGGATCGGCGACACTCTGGTCGCAATCGTGTACCGGGGAACCGTTTGAGACAACCTGGTCCGACGTGAGATCCGATGCAACGATTAAGGTGACGGAAGAATCAAGTGTACCGCGGCAGAAGCCTATTCAGTCATGTGTATGCCCAACGCGACAGCGCAGTCCGTTCAGGGAGTCGTCCCAGAACATACATACCCAATTCGCGGAGCTGCTCATGTTGAAAGAAGGGTCGACTTTGGACGAAAAACAAAGAAAAGGAATAACATCATCGGTGTTACTTAGGACTCACTTCATAGTCGATGAAGCTAAGCTCGCAACGAATGGGTAGTTCCAGTTTTTGTACAACACATTTAGTAGTAAAATTGTCCGGCAAGTTAGCACCCGATATGAGGGAAGTGGAGTTCTGGAGGACAAGGAGGTCAAGCAGTTGGTCCTGGCTAGCAGAAACTAGATCAAGCTGTACCGGTTGTCCGGGGAAATCACTAGCCTTGGATAAATCCATAGGCGATTCGGTCAACAAGCGCGAAATATCTATGAAAGAGGTGAGAAAGGAAACCATGAGTTTGTTTATTACTGAGTTCATTGTTATAAGTATTCAAGTAGGCTGCCACACTCCCTTTCCTGAACGACGCGAATCGATGTCTGGAAGCTGACTGAATAAAATTCGGAAGCTTGTTGTCAGACAGCCTGATGTCGCAGGGTAAGGTCAGAGTAGGGGAGAGGGGTAGGCTTGCGAACTTGTTACGTCTCTAGGATCACAACTGATTCTTCTGTGGGGTCAGACTGAAATCGACCCACAGAACTTTAGCCGAGTCGGTTAGACCAACAACAAAATCAAGAGGTATTTTATAAAGAGCAGATAACTTCACTGTGGATCAATAGGTCGCATAAACTGTGAGGTAGTTAGAACCAAACAACTGGTAGGAATGTCTATGGATCCGACGCGACATATCCATCGTCACTAAGATTCGCGCGTACCGTGCATCTGTACGGTCTATCCTTCTCTACGGTTCTGAATGCTGGGCTGTGTGCGTAGAGGACGAGCGAAAAGTGGAGGTATTTGATCACCACTGTTTGAGGACCATCCTTCAAGTGAAGTACATCGACTTCGCCTCAAATGAGACAGTCTGCGCACGCTGCAACATCGCAAGGGTAACCTAGGCCATTCAAGAAAGACGAATGAGGTGGTTTGGGCATGTTCTTCGTCGTCCACCCCAGGAGCTCAGTGTTGCTGTCCTCGATCCGGCACCGGTACCTCATTGGAGGAGTCGACTCAAAACCTTGCTCGACGCAGTTCGTCAAGACATGGAGGCGGTTCTTGAACCTTCGGTATTCGGTCTTCGCGGTTTGCGAAAAGAATGCGTTGAACTGTCCAGCTCTGCTGCCGCGGATCGTCACGTGTGGAGAGTTACAGTTCGGGAAATCATCGAGGCTGGCTAGATCAGGCATGATCGCAGCCGTACCAAGTACAAGATAAGAATGCATCCCCTGAATAAGTTGAGTGCAAGTCCCGCGAATTTTGTACAAGGAACTGTAAAACTGCATGACAACGTGGGTGGCAGAATACCAACGTACACTAAGGAAGATGCAGTTATCTGGGGTAAATGTCGGCCTAGTTCGATCACGCCCACTTAACACCGGTTTTCTGAGTTCACAAAATTTAGTTAAGGATGGATAGGTAAGGCTGTATATATCTGCTGATTAAATGACTCATTGCATAACTTAGTACAAGGTCGCCTTCCCTATTCGTAGGTTGTAAGGACGACAAGTACGTTCAACGGAAAACAGCGAGAAAAGCCAATACTCTTACATTCGGTCTTGTCAGCTTTCAAAGTGAACGAAATAGCGGAATGCAAATTTCAAGGAAACATCGAGAATTCAAATTAAACAGCTAAATTTCACGGGCGCAAATCTACGACGAAACGAGAGAAAACACTGCACGCGTGCAATGAGCAAACTACAGGTAATTCTATCTCACATACCTCTTGGAGCCTGTTTCCCCCGTTTCTCGACAGTCGACACATCAAATGGCTCAGCCGACATTTTGTAAACGGCTGGATCGACGCGTTCACCATACTCATCCCAAGAAACCTAAAAATAGACGAAATCAAAAGAAGTCAGACGTAGTTTTATTCTTCCTTTCCTTACAAAAAATACGAAAAGACTAGGGAAATTTGTGATGCGTGTAGAAGGATCATCACGATTCCAGTGAAGACCTGCGCGAGTAAACAGTGGTTTAAAAAAAGACAAAGTCGATGGTTAGAGGAGTCTAAAACCACCGTCAAACAATTAATTAGGAAACCTCGACTTACTGTTCTTTCGACTGTCGGAAACACCAGCTGAGTTCGCTTGGTCATTCTGAAGAACTGGCCACCTGAGTGATTATAGGCGCCGGGGAAAAGGTCGTAGCCTGCCTGGTGTCGACCATGAGTAAGGGCAGGATTAGAGGACAAAGTTAACTCATACGGTTGGTAGGAAGTGTTCGAAGGTGCCACGTGACTTGCATTCTCGGAAACAAGGGCCGAGGTCGAGCTTAGCTGCCTATGGCGGTCTGTCTCACCGATATCTTCGTCTTCATCATTGCATGTGTCGTCATCGTCTGCAACACCATCGTTGTAGAGCTGTTGACCTTCACCTCCAAAAGCCGAAACTCGTCGTGCTATTGGTAATGCAAACAAAACAGGTGGCATGTCTGACTGAAGAAAGAATGACTGGAGGATTTAAAGACAATAAGCGTGTCTATTTGAGAAGCCGTCAAATAGCACAACAGTAGCGAAAGCGAAACATTTCCAAATGACTTACAGCGATTAAATGATGGTGCCCTTGGGTTACTGACAGACGTTGCTATTGGGCTAGACACGGAGGTTGTCTTCTTTCCGCCATTTAAAAAGGCGAAACTAGAGTCGTTCGGTTGGGGTGCCGGCTCGGTGGTTGGCGTCTCAACTGGACATTCCACAACGACTCTCTGAGAGAGAGTGAAAGGTAGCATCAAGGCACCATTAGCCCCGGTCGGCACGCCCACACGAGCCCAGGGTTCATTATTGGACAGACCAATAAGACGACGACCCAAACTGAGACCTGGTCCAACAGGCGAAAAGAACTCCGAAAGGTCTTCGACCTGTCGAAAATCGCCGTTCCGCGACGTCACAATCACAGTATTTAGCTCAGAGTCGGCCCACTCAGTGAAGAGAAGTCGGGAAAAACCACTGCGGAGATCCGATTCGGAGGCGAGAATAACCTGATTGAGAAAACATTAAAATTACGTTTCATAAATCAAATTTTTGAGGCATAGGAGGACGGAAGCAAGACGTTGAACAACATCGTGCGTCAGATAAACGAGGCTAGGTGCAAACAGTCGCTGGCGAAGTTTCTGTTAGAGGCTACGGGCGGGCAGAGGCCGGCTGAACACAGAGATATACTTTATGTGCAACAGCCTTTCCCATTTGCTGTTATCAAACAGAGGTGCAGTGCGAAAAGTCTAGGCATAGGAAGAATTGCTGCATAAGTGAATCCCAGTGGTGCGAAACCTCGATTAACAAGGCATCAGGAACTCAGCAGTTCACACGTCGGCATGACAGTTCTTTTAGATCCCCATCACTTACCCACTATGTTTAAAACACCTGCTAACTGGTTGTTGATCGTTAATAAGCGTTTGAAAAAGTGGCGCCTGCTAGGCTATTGTCTGCCGGCAGCAACCCTGGGAGAATAAATCTAATTACCTTCCCGCAACGCTAACTATGCCACTTTATTTGAGCTGCATAATCGTGGATAGAGCACTGGCCCGAAGGTCCGGAAAGTCGGACTCCAATTTATAAATGCAAAGAGCGCTCCATCTGAAACTTACTCTTGCGGCCTAAGCAGTTTAGCTGAGATGTATTTCTGAATTAAAAAACAAAAAACATGGTAGCCGACTTCACTCGACACCTCTACACGAATCAAGTGGTTCTTCGGTTGGTCAACAACGTGAGATCACATAAAGAAACGAACTTGTCGGCGAGACATTCTAATGGCCCATCCCAATCGCAATCAGTAGAAAAGCATTGACCCGTAGTTTAATGGAGAGCACTTAGTTCTGGCGACTGTTTACTCATAAAGAAAACAACAAATTCCTATAAAACGTAGGGAACAGGAAGTTTACCTTCGGATCAGGGACAAAGTCAAGTTCGTCGAGGGTATGACAAAGCTGTAAGTGTCGTAAGTGGAACGGATTACTGCGTTGATCTTCGAACGTCCGCACAATTTTGTCAGACATCCACTCCACAAGTGACTTGGCAGAATCGAATACGTTAAAAGCAACGTGGGTGAGCATAGCTAACCCGTATGCCATAAACCCCGAGTCCTATAAAAAAGGGATAGCAAAGATGAAAACATACTTGAATATGCCACAATGTTTCTAAGAGATGTGCAATTTCTAAACAGTATCCTGCAGTATCCACAGCAATGAGAACGTTGCCACCACGGCGAAGTGTACGGAGAAGTAGTTGGCGGAGAGCCTCCTCGCGGTTCTTTCTCCGAGACTAAATCTTAGGATACGATAATATAATTATCATACATGAGTGTAGAGGGCATTTGAGACGTCAATTATCAGGAGACGAGGGCGAATGCATGCGTCAAATGTTGCACCGTTTAGGTGCCTACCCTTCTTGTGGTTGAAATCAATCGCATAAATTATGTCAGTTTCGTCTTTAATGAGTTTCCATATTGTTCCTCCCAGCATATGGCCTTGGAAATAATACTATATTAAGACTCGTACCGGATGGAAGTGGGGTGACGCTAAGTCCATGACCTCTACCTTGAAGATTGACCGTCTGTTGGTATTTCACTTGAACAAACAGCTCAAAGGCAGCGTCAACATCGTCCAGTGAAAAACATGCGGAATCCCCGGAGACGTACCGCGATTGATATGTGTCATATAACACCAGTTGGCCCAGTTTATAAACGGGAGTAGTGGCGTAAATTGGGCATTTTAGACCGTATTTTCCCACCAACACAGGGAGAAGACCGAGATGGCGCATACTTGGATGACTTATTAAAACTGCATCGAGCATCTTTATCCATTTCGAAAGTTCTTTTACAAATGAAGGAGTACTGTCTTCCAGACAACCACAATCAAGAAGGCAATAGAAATCGTCGACTTGGAGAAGGAAGCAGGGGGGCTGGTTGTCACCGGCGCCGGAGAACGTGTGCAATTTGATTATAGAAGTAGCCATCCTTAAACACACAATTGTGTGTTTAAAAGTATTAGGCAGAAATTGGATGAAAGAAAACAGAAGACTAAAAGCGAAGGATCTGTCCCAAATCCAATATTTACAACCACATAACCAAGTCAACGATATTTGTAATTCACAGTTCTTCGCGTTGCCCTATGCAGCCAAAGGCAACAGTATCTAGTCCCCTGCACTCTGGACGGAAGTCCCCGAAGCGTATACAGAGGCATTATGGGTCCAAATTAAACAATAAAAAATACAACGAAAATAGACAGAGCGAAGTGTTGTGAAAGGAAGAGGAGTCGACGAAAACTGCAACACTTTACTACTTGTCAAATTGTCAATAATTCAGGGCAAAAGCAACAAGAAGGAAACCTGATAAAGAATATTAATGAAATTTCAAACGCATTAAGCCAATGCGTAGGCTATATGGCAAAAGCACAGAGGCATCTTGAGTCGAACTAGAAAGTTCTTGTATGACGGAAACGTATTTGGAATGTGACGTGTGCGGACACAAATTTGTGTCTCAGTTCACAATACGTTGTCAGGAATATCTTTGTTCAACTAGAGTAGACTGTGCACAAAGCAGTTCTATGTTAATCTACCAACATTCTCTGGCATTCCTCTCCTGTTATCATGGACTGACCGACGTCGGCCTGACATTCGGTCAGCGCTTTCTCCGCTCGTCGCGATGCTGGAATGCTGGTCCTCGACGGGCACATTCAACCGAGCCATAGACTTACATCCCACTTACCATGCGCTCCAAGAAAAGCTCGAGTCAGTCCAGGCAAGGCCACTGGCACGGATAAAAGAGTCACACGACTGCCGACGCTCGCGGAGAGAGGAGAAGGCGTTGACCTAATGTCACGTGACCGGCGTGGCACACTGTGTCACGCAAGTATCCGCGAGGCCGAAAACACCACGCCTGAGGAATAACGATCCATAAGCCTGCCGTTTTATCATGAGGCCAACGAGCACGATGACGTAGCGGCAACCATTTCAGGCGTGAGGGGACACAAGCCACGCCAGTTCGCCAATGGCTAGAATCAGGTAGGCGACAATCAGACAACGGAAAACAGGCTAGCCAACGTACGTGCGCTGGGCACGGTTGAAATACGAGGCACGCGGCAAGGTTTAAACAGATCGAGGCCAGCAGGAATTGCCACTAAACGACTCTGATGATGGAAACGGGAGTGTTTCCGAAACGTCACATTGAATGCAATCTGGTTCATGAAATCGCCTTCTCTTGTTCGTCTTCCTCGGGGGATAATAAACACGATATATATGTCTCCTGGAAAACGGGCATCCCGAGAAATTTAATTGAAAATAAATAAGAGTATTTGGGAAGAGAGTAAACTTAAATGAATAATTTTTGAAGTTTGGTTCCCCATCTCGTCGTCACACTTTTGGGCTATGTACAAAAACAGTTAACAATTTAACCGTGTGGAACAAGTGAATCTATGGTTGGCCGAAGCCTGTGCCAATGCGCGTCAATGATTTTCGTCATCCCATCGGTATTGGCTGGGGTCGCTTCCATTTTTCCTTGAGGAATTTGTGTGTGGCATCTAAATCGATATGCCGATGGATGCATGCCTCTTCTGAGTGTACTGCCTCCAGGAATTGGCGGCCTTTTTTGTTGGGCAGGCGCCAACAATGCGGGTGTTTTCCCATGTCCAGTGTCCAGTGTGTGCACAGCCACCTGGGATAGATGATCTTGTTTCCTCACCGTTAACTAATGCTCATATATGCGGGTAAGGACAGATTTCCCAGTTTGGCCGCAATAGACGGCATCACAACCGGAACATAGTATTTTGTAGACACCACCTTTTCTATCAAGATAGCCAGCACTGTCCTTAGGGTGTACAGGCTGTGTACACAAGGTGTTTGTAGGTTGGTGCGCTACTGGTATCTGATGTTTTTCCAGCTGTCTATCGATGAGTTCGGATACATTTTTCCCGTATGGATGCGTCCGCCAGTTGAATGTTTTTTTGGTGCCAAGGTGGACGTTC